CTGTTTACACCGACTGAACAATCTATCCTTATTATAGATGCATCTCCATTTGGGTTAGGTGCAGTCCTAGAGCGGAATAGGAAACCTGTGATTTTTATTTTGAAATGGTTAAGCAAGAGTGAACATTGATATTCTCAGACACAAAAGGAGGCCTTAGTTATGGTATGAGCAGTAAAAAGACTGCATCAATATTTGTTTGATGTGAAACTCCATATTGTAAATAATCATCAGGCGTTAAAGTCTATTTACTATCCAGCTAACTTACTACACTGGCCATCCGTTGCCACGGTTCAGAGAAGGAATGTAGAGTTGAGTGCTCATTATTTCACTATTGAGCACTGAGTGGTCAAAAGCACACCCCATGCAGATTTTCTACCACGCTATTCACATTTCGAAAAACCACCGGTCGAAAGTGTATTTATTTATTTGAATAGATAAATATTGGTACAAAGGGGCACCTAATACATACGCGCCACACAAGTCACTTGATTTGTGTATGGGCTGTGATACTGTCCGGGTACCCAAACCGAAGCAGGAGGTTTTCTTAGGGGGCTGTACCCGGAGTCTTCGACCTAAAGGTCTGGTCCACAAGGCAGTGGAGCAACGTCAGGAGATACAGTTCCACGGTAACCGGTGACCAATAATTGGTTCATACGCCATTTGTTACCTCAGAATACTGGGGACCATGTGTATCATTGGTTTGGAATCAGGGTTTCCTAACTCCCCTAGATGGATCCTCTATATCCACTAACTCAGTTAAGGCGCCGGACACTCGCTTTTCGTCCTCTTAATTTCGTAAACAACGTCGCCGTCGCGAGAAGGCAGTGAGTAGGACTTCCCTGGCAGTTGCTGTATACACGTGGCCATATGAGCGCATTTCAAAAGGGAGAGCTGACTCTCCCCACCCTCGGCCGTAACAGGGTATTTGGGGGCTGGTGTCGCTGCCACGAAAGTGATTGAACGTTGGTTCAACCATTACCTGTTGATATTGCAGAACTTGTGAACGATACTCGCAAGTATTTAGGAATTATCACAAGTACAGTGAAAAGAGGTTGAAATGTTCGGTGCAACTGTAGGTTCCCTGAGTTCTTCAAAAGGAGAGAAGACATATTACTACATACTAGTGGTTTTTCGTGTTTTAGTGACAGAGTAACTACTCCCCTAGATTTAGGCTTGCAGTATTAGACGACCTTCATTCCGCCCACCTAGGAGCAGAGGAAATGAAATCACTTGCTCGTCAGAATTGTTGGTGGTCTGATATTAATGCTGACATAAGTCGGAAATCGAAGAACTGTCCTTCCTGTTTACATAAGCTATGATATAATAAACCTATTTTGAATCCTCGGCCTGAATATTATGGATCGTGGCAGCGTATTCATGCGGATTATTGTGACCCATCCTTAAACTCCTACTATGCTTTAGTTATTATTGTTTCATGTTGTAGATGGCCAGAAGTGGTACCCACACACAGTCCTAGGGAACGCTTGACTCAAAGAGCGATGAGAGATGTATTTAATTGTGAAGGAATACCCAATATATTAGTGAAGGATAACAGGACCGATTTCACAGAAAGTTTAACAGCTGGCTTACTGATATTGGATGCCGTCGTCTATTTACAGCTCAACGACATCATCAGCCTAAGTTTAGCAGAAAAGTTCGTTCGAACTTCAAAGAGTGCTATCACATCAGTGAATCCAAATAATATTGAAGAGCCATAAAAATGCATAGATCATTTCATGTTCAACATCGTAATGCAGAACATTCAAGAACTCATGACAGCCCGGCTAAACTCTTTAAATCTCGCATACTTCGAACTGATTTAGTAAACAAAATATCACCAGAAGTGCAATTTTACCAAGGAAATGAATACCGACCATCTACAGAGATTGTAAATCAGAAAGTGGAAAGTCGGGCAGTGAAGATTCTTGGTTTAAATGACCATTCAGTTCACAGTAGACATACAGACCAAGTGAAGGTTTATTAAGTAGGTGATCCCAATTTTAATTCTCTAACTAATCCTGATTCTGAAAATAAAGATCAGAATGCTAGACAATCGAGATCTAACAGAATTACAAATAAACCCATACTACATCATAGACACATAAGCCGACAATCGTGTAGTGGACGCGGTGAATAGCCAATACATTTACTGCACAGTTAAATTTTGTGTTTTAACCGACCATAATAATACAATACAATCTCATACTGGGTACTTCAAATTTGAGTTCTTGATTATGTCTTGTCGAGGTTCTAGATTTAATCGGATTAGTGCTATTGCATTATATTGTTTCAAACCCACCGAGTTACATTAACTATGCAAGTCTGAAGATGGATATACAGGTTTGCTGGGTTATAATTCTACACAACGTAAACAGGATAGTTTACTTTATAAAACAACTGAAACTTATAAAAAACCAGTATTTAGATAAGTTCATTGAATAAATAAAAACTAGATTAGGAACGTTTACTGATTAATTATTAGATTTATGGATGAAGATTGAGTTTAAGTTCTTCGATAAAGATATTGTACGGATAATACCTTGAAATAGAGGTTTAATTCGTTCGTAAACGGCGTTTGAAGAGATCATTTAAACTTGAAGATCTATTCTTCTGTATCATGAACTGAAAACAGCCGAGAAGTTATTAGAAACCAAGAAGTATTGTCTCTAGCGTTCATTATCGTTCACCAACTTTCTTAGTCTTCTGATATCTCTTCATTATTTGACAGGTCGTGTCAACAATTAGGGTTTGGTAGACAGCCGTCACTTAGCCACGTTTTCCTGTCATAATAAGTCTACGACTAATTAGTGATGACAATGATTGGTCAAAGTTGTAGTGTTTTCGACCACCACACTTTGTAACTAAGTTTCAATATTAAGGCTATATTTATTTTTGCCTATTATCTATTTTTTAGGTTCCAATTTATATAAATAAATGTAGCGTATATTGTCTTAATATTTGATAAAATACGTTAAGGCAATATAACTATGTGGTTGCTTTCATTGAAGCGCTTTAGAGAGCTAGTGGTTTTCTAGAGGTTCAGTCATCAATCAACCACTAGCATATGTCATCAAGCAACAAAGTGTACATCATAGTAATGTAATTCAGTGGTCACATTTTTATCTTTGGTGTTTTGTAAGAAAGTTTTACTGAAAAAAGTAGAGTAGGTTGGTATTTGGATAACACTGAATGTGGACAGAAGTTTTATGATGCTCTTTTATTCTCAAGAAGGATATATATATATATATATACAACAGTGAAAATTAAATACTTAACCTTTATAGTTGTATGTTACTGGTTTAAAAAACCTCAAAAAACGGAAAGTGCTATTAATCTTTCATTCCTAGCTGGGCATTGTAAAAATAGGCTGTCAAGAGTTTCATACCGAGCTTAAAAACGTAAGCATATTTTTTCTGATCTCTTCCTGGCGAAATATAGTACTAAGACTGGTACGCTGAAACAATTTGTAGGGTCACATCAAGAAGCTAGTCATTGGTGGCTAAAATACAAACCGGTTAAAACTTTCAAGACATATTGGCGACTTAAACAAGGATAGGTTGACGAAGGTGGTAGCATAGACTTACATCAACTTAAGCTAAAAGAATCCTAGCTTAGATTGATAGTAACTGTTGATAGAACTTACTTTTTCCTCCTCCACAACTGTACGCATAAATCGACTACATAGAGATTATGGATAGTGGAATTTTATAGAAATTTGAATTGAGTCAATTAACTGGGCAGTTTCTAAATAACAAGTAACACGTGCAGTCTTATCCATGTTCATATAGTATGATTATTAAAAAAAAAGAGTAGTGACACGAAATTAAGTCTATTATTTACCATATTCACATAGGGGACAGACTTTTCTGTTGGTCCTGTTATACTGAATAATACACTGATCACGGTGAAGCAACAGTTGAGAGATTATTAGATTCTAACTATTCATACGATAGCCAGATGTGACTACAGTCAAAATCCTCCTAGAAATAAGATATGCGTTTATTTTGGGGGGCTGGTGAATTGAAGCAGACAACTCTTCATACTGTTACTTTGAAATAAGTGTCAATCACACTCAACAAAGAGCATAGGACAAATATTTTTCTCCAACCTACCATGCCACATCAGTACGGTGTGGTGGAACTGAAGAGACGAATAACAATAATTGCCGATGATAATGAGAAAGACCAAACAATAAAAAATACAGCTTGAAAAAAAATGCTTGAAGTCGAAGAGTAAAGACATGAAATACTACAGAAGCTCACGTCACTTTATTTTTCTTACTCCCTACTACAGTCATTGAGCACCAAGCTATCGGGTAGTTGGAAATACGTAACACATGCCGATATCCTCAAATGAAGAAGTTTTAAAAGCTCACTAACGGATTTGCCCTGTTTACTTAGTACTCTACAACTAAAAACAGTAATACTCACTCAGTTGTTTAACAACACAATGCTTCGAAAGCACAGTCGGTCGCAAATCTGCAGCTTACTCCTATTTCTAAAGCATGTATTTCACAAACCGAACAGTGCAGAACGGAATGCTGAGCAGTCAGCCTTGTTGGCAAATTGGCATCTCGGTTCCGTCACAGATGATGCAATTTGGGTGAGCAAACTGCACAACACGCTTAACTACTTTATTCCCTATAACCATTTTAGGTGTTAGCCGAAACCATTTCTGAAACAACATTTTGTACATATGGAAATGCATCCTACACATGAATCGCTAATTGTATTTCAAAGACATGTGTTTTACAACAACGAAATAAGTATATGCTTAAAACTACCAGACTATCTAGGGCCAGGTACATGACATTTCCTATCTATATACCTCAGTAAGAGGTGTTCACGTTTTTTAAGTCCGACAGGAATGTACTGCACTTAGTAATAAAATGAGAAACTAGACTTTATTATCATAGTTAAATAATTGATACTCTTGGGCTAACAGCAACCATTATGGTCTCGTTTATAACACACAAATGATATATTAAAATGCAAAGCACATACTGCATAAAATATATCTTTATTTTTGAAAATTATTTACATAGTGGCAGAACCACAATCTATGAAATTTGATGAGCTAGCACAAAATACACATAAAAATAATAAGTAATATGTACACTTTAATTTTCCATCAAAATGTGATCATAAGTTCTTGATGTTCATATCACACATCTAAATTATAAACACAAGCTGAATTGATAAGTGGAACTAAATCATCTTTAGAATTAAAATCTTTTGGGAGTACCAACTGTGGGAGGAGTTTTTGCAGAAGACTTAGCACAAGATGCCGTAAATTACTGAGGCAGTGTTCAGGATCTGGGCATAAAGAAACGACGGGATTATTTTTTGGGAAATCCAATTCCTCATTACTTTGAGCAGAATGACCTAATTCCAAGTTTTTTAAAATGTATGAAAAAAGTTTATCGACGTTGGGAGATTGAGGATCAAATTTAGTGTGCTGGAAGTGAGGTTCTAGTATATTCAGGAGGCGCAGGGTTTGATATCTAAGCTCTGCAGATGCTCGGTGTGCGCTCATATGCCGCCAAAGTGTCAATTTCTCATCCGATTCTTGACAAGCAACCAACCAATTATTAATACGTTGAGTAAGTTGATTGAGAGCATCGTTGGCGAGAGCTGTAAGCTGATCTGAGTACTCCGGTTCCATGAAAAGCGGAGGGAGATCAATAGGCAAGGCATCCGACGAAGTGATACTTACCGGATAAGTGACTTCCAAGCTATCCACGAAGTCAAAAGTATATAGCTTTCTCTCACTATTGTCTTCCATTATATTCAGGAAACCAAGTTGGTAGGTTTCATGAATAGTTATTACATGGTTTTGTGTAGGATCATTCATTAACTCATATTCCTTTTTTAGCGGCAATTTATTGCCTAAATGTTTTTGGTATCCATTGGAATCAGTGCGTTCGCGGTTTGCGATCTTCGAACTGACAGTCGTAACGCAATCTTGCCCTTTAGTAGATAATCTCGGCTTTTTACAAACATCCCTTTCACCTTCAAAGTATAAATGGTTTCTTTTGCTTCCGGAATTTTTGAACACACACAATGGTGCATCACCAAAGTCCCTCTGATCCCACTTGTCTTGATGCAACGTAGCATTCATAACAAAATTTGAAGAACAGTCCTATAGCAATATAATTTGAAAAACACTTGGTTAAAGCAACCCTACTTCTATACCGACCGACGAAACCAAATGAACCCGCCAAAACACTTTGATTTGATACGCGCGCAATTGTTGGTCACTCAAAGTACTAAACGGTTGTTCGTGAAGATTCCAAATGGATTTTTATTCATTGTAAAAGGCTTTTGCCAGGAACTTTTAGTGTACTGACTTATAGCGTCCATAATTTTAACTATTTGTTAGATGTCAAGACCACTGTATTTAGTTTAGTAGTTTCAGAAAGCATATTATTGTAAAAGTCCCACTCTCATGAACGTTTTTTTATGTACTCCCTTTTAGCTAAAACTGTATTCTTAATACAGTTTATAGACTTAAAGGTTTATGGTCATTTTTTATTTTATCAAGGTTCCTTGGTTGTACGTCTTTTTTGATAAATAACAAGTTAGTATTAAGGTAGTGCTTGTCAAAGCCCGGATTGTCAACATTTTGGTGGATAGCGATATATTTTATGGTGACTTAAAGCAGTGAGACTGTGAAGCTCAAACTAAATTGACGGTTTAAACTTTTAAAATGTGTAGTTGGGTCAGTTGTAAATGTTTATGTCAGAAAAGCTAATTGTATTCAAAAATCTTGTCACCAGAAGCTATTGTACTTATAAATTACAGCCGAAAAGCATGTTGAAGAGGGCAACTTTACTAGTCATCATCTAGATATACATGATAATGCTTACGCTTTCAGTAATTGAATCGAGGTAGCGTTGTCCAGAGTAACTTAAAGGGTGATAAGTAACTAACAACTGTTACACCTCGTGGAGAAGCATAGGCCTCTCACCGGCAGTCTCTATGAAACTCTACACTGGAAAATCTTTTCCATTACTTTCCAGTTGCTATTCTACCTTTTGATGTCTGCTTCGGAACTCCAAGAGCAATATTCTTTGTTCCTCTTCGTTTCAATTGCCCCTCAGGATTCCAGGTTATCTCTTGCCTCGTGATAAAGTTTGGTGATTTTTGCAAAGTTTGTCCTGTCCACCTCCAACATCTGTCCTTAATCCCCCCAACTGGAAGCTGGTTAGGTTTCTCCCACAGTAAACTGTTGTCGATGGTATCCGGCCAACGGATATTGAGTATTTTACGTAGACAATTGTTTAGAAATACCTTTACCTTTTGGGATGGTTGTGGTAGTCCTTCAAGTTCCAGCTCCGTACAGTAGGACTGTCTTGACGTTCGTATTGAAGATTCTGACTTTGATGTTGGCTGACAGTTGTTTTGAGTTCCATATGTTCTTCAATTGTGGGAATGGGGCCCTTGCTTTGCCAGTCCTCGCCTTTACATCTGCATCCGACCCTCTTTGTTAATCCATTATGCTTCCCAGGTACGTGAAATATTCCACATCTTCTAGAGCTTCTCGATCAAGTGTGATTGGGTTGGTGTTCACCGTGTTTTATTTGAGGATCTTGATTTTTCATATGTGCATGTTGAGGCCTACTGATGTAGTGGCTGCTGCTACACTAGTTGTCTTGATCTGCATTTGTTCGTGTGTATGGGATAGGAGGGCCAGGTCCAAATCGTCTAATTGATTCTAAGCTGTCCATCGTATTTCGTACTTCCCCTCAGATGTGGAGGCCTTCATAATCCAGCCAATCACCAGAAGATTAAGAAAAGGGGAGAGTAAGCAGTCTTGTCTGACACTAGTCCTCAATCGGAACGCGTCTGTTAACTGTCGTCCATGCACGGTATTGCAGTGTGTTCCGTCGTATGAATTCTGGATGATATTGACGATTTTTTCACGTACTCTATAGTGTCGAAGAAAGCTCCACAAGGTTTTTCCATCCATGCTATCAAACGTCTTCTCATGATCAAGGAAGTTGATGTATAGTGACGAGTACCATTCAACTGATTGCTCAACGATGATCCATAGTGTCGCAGTTTAGTTTGTGCACGACCGATCCTTACGGAATCCAATCTGTTGATCTCGAAGTTGGGCGTCCATTGAATCTTTCATTCGGTTCAATAACACACTGTTGGAAATTTTTCCTGGTGCTGACAGTAGTATGATGCTTCTGTAGTTCTCACATTTTCTCAAATCTCCTTTCTTTTATATCTTGATGAGGTGTCCTTCTTTCCAGTCCGTCGGCATTTGTTCCTCCTCCCAAATCTTCCTGAATAGAACGTAAAGCATACCTGTAGTTACTTCTATGTCTGGCTTCAGAGCTTCAGCTGGTATATTGTCTGATGATCATCCTGATTTCTTCCATCGTTGTTGGAGTGACATCTGTAATGAGGTCTGTGTGTGCTGCTTCGATGTCCGATGGATTCAGTGGGGGTGGTCTTTTCAAGAGTCCCTCGAATTATCCTACCCTTCTGTTACTCTGTTCTTGAATCTCGGTGATTGGCTTGCCTTCTTTGTTCTTGACCGATCTCTCTGGTTTACTATATTTCCCCGCTGGTTTCCCCGTTGCATCACATGGTTGTCTCATATTTCCTTCACTTGCCGAGTTTTCCGCTTTCATTGCTATGTCTTCCACATATTTCTACTTGTCAGCTCTAATGCTTTTATTCACTCTCTTGATTACTTCTGTGTATTCAGCCTGTGCCCTGACTTTATCTGCTCTTGTTCGGCTGTTACTAATTGCTACCTTCTTGTTGTTTCATTCGTGAATGTTGTCTAGGGTTTTGATAGACATCCATTCCTTATGATGATGATGATGCTTGTTGCTGCCAAGAACCTCTTGACTTGTTGAAGTCGGTGATTCTTTGATCCCTTTGTAGTTGTGGTTCATAGTAGTTTCTTCTTTCAGTAGATCCTGTAAGGTTCGGAACTTGTTGTTGAGAGTTGTCTTGAATTCGTCGAGTTTGACGGTATCTCGAAGGAAGGCTACATTGAACCTATGTAATGTTGTTTCCCCGTTGTCCACTGTTTCTTTAGCTTCAGTTTCATCTTGGCAACTACTAGCTAGTTTTGATCTGAAGCTATGTCAGCTCCTCCCCTGGTTCTCACATCTTCCATTGATCTGAATTTGTCGGTGATGTAAATCTGATTTATCTGGTTCTCCGTGGTGTGATCCTGTGAGATCCATCCCTTTCGATTGTAATGTTCACTGTATAGCTTCGGGCAGTAGACTTCACTTATTTCAATAACTGTCAAGTTGTATCTTCTCATTTCCGCAACTGTTAGATTGGTTCTCCAGGTCTTCAATATTGTCCAGAGTTGGGGTAGTTTTATTGTTTAGTCTGGTTAGTGTTTCTTAAGGGGGTAGTTTTGTACGGTTTTCGGTTTACGACTGCATGCCAAACACTCATCCTCTACCTCGGCTTGGGACCAGCAGGAGCTGTATATTAGCTACAGGCGGAGTTGACGTAAATGTATGAGGAAATATTTTTGAAGCCTCTAGATTCTTTAACTTTTGACTGTCGTTTTTCAAAAATGATCTTTTGTTGTAAGTACACTGTTGAGAATCAACACGCCTTCATATTTCTGACTCACGGGAATCTATAACGTTATGTTTACTGGCCATATATACATTTTCCATACTCCCTCAAACTTCAAACTTTGAAATTTGTGCATCGGCATCTGAGTGATTGACATGAACTTGTAGAATTATGGTCTACTATGATATTAGTACTGCTCTAATAAAAGACCTAATCCTAAATTTTGTTGATTTGTCATGATATAACTGCCTGATCTATAAGATCTTACGTGGAAGTCACACCATCGACTACAGCAACTCACTGTATCGTATCAATTACCAATGCATGATGTAGAACAAGGTTAGGCTAGAGAAGGAACAATATATTTAATATGAATAGAAGATATAAGCTAACATTCAGATGGACCACGCCTGCATGGTCGAGCCATGCCATCCGATCAACCTCCATTCATTCAATTAACTGTTCCCGCCTTTTCCATCGTTAGGTATTTCTCCGCGTTAAATATTGAATATCTATTTTCCTAGTAGTGTTGTGTTCAGCTTTGAAGATTGTGTGGTTATGGTCCAATGTCACTACACTACTCTCCCACCAGAATCAACGTGATGTTGGTTCGATACAAAATTGGATGGGATCGTCGCGCGCCGGAGGTTACCAAGGATAATAAGAATCCTCCGGGTATTGGTAAGCTGAAAGATAAATCAAAAAGAAAGCGGCAGCATCTGGTCGGGAAATACATGTAATAATTTTGAAATATCTGCCTTCATGCTTAAAACGCTTGAAATGAAAATTTGGGTGAAGATTATTTGAGCTATAAAAAATGGGGTTACAATAATAATAATAATAAAACGATGCGTGTTAATAGCCGTTGGTTAATAACTTAACGTATAGGTAGTAAGTATTTTGTGTTTAGAAATATTAAAGTAATGAATATTGTAGAAATGTTAATATTGGTATTAGTTTTGGTTTAAATTATGAAATCAAATAACGATTATGCCGGTAAGTTGTCCATATGAGTTGAATTCCAATCGCATTTGTATTAGTAGGCTAACTGAAGGAACAAAAGTATTACCATGGAAAAGAATTCCAACTAGTGTTTCAGTTAGTTTGATACGGTTTATTTAGTTACGGGGAGATTTTCTCAACCTCATTTTTACTTGACCGTGATAGAATTTAGTAATACTACTAATACACATGAATGGTTATCAAAATAAAATTTAAATACATGAGTGATAATTATATGAATTTTGGACAGATAGCTAGGAACAAATCGTTAAACATGAGTGTGTTCGTAAGAGACATGCTCTGGACTCAATGTTCTGATCTGCAATAGACTATTTATTTATATTTATACTTGCTGGCTGATTGGGCATACAAGTTAGTTGCAAGTATGCAGTTTATCATAAGGCGGAATACGATTTAATTGAGATATAGTGGTTATAAGTTATTGAAATCAGTTAGGCCTGTGTCATATTACGAGGTGATGTGGTGCTGCAAGATGTATTTAGCTAAATACGGTTTTACAAGATGATTAATAGTGAGTGATGCTTATGTGATTATCAGAGAGAACATAAGTTGTAACCAGGGGGAGTACACTCCCAACTCATGTCTATGATAATGGCTTGAACCTTAGTCAGTGTTGGGGGTAAATTCGACATTGATGTTTTCAGTTTGCAGGAGATTTGCTCGACT